GGTTTGAAAGAAAACATTAAATATGAAAACAGAAATGAAACATAGTCTACATACAAATTTAATATGAGGTCAGCAAGTACAATGTAGGTGTATTGTGTTAGGATCAGAAATTAATACTTTTAAAACAATAAAATTGCTGTAAAATTGATTTCTGCCAACATAAAAAACAATAGAAAATCAAGATAGATATGGGTTGCAGAGGGGTGTATCATTGAACAACCATTAGAATATAGAGTTTTCTGAGATCTACTTTAAAACCAGTGTTGGTTACTCCCTTACACTTTAAACTTTTGCTTTGGTATGATAAATACCTTGTGGGTTCATGTATAAGAGGATATTAAAGAAATTGAGTCAATCACTTTGTTACTGTTTGTTAGTGTTGTTGTTTCTCTATTAGTATGCCTGAGATATACATCTTACCATGAAACTTGGAAATATATTTTTTCTTTTTTTCCTTTGGTGCCAATGATATTTTTAACACAAAAGCAACAGAGGGATTGGAATGCCTGTAGCTTTCTCAATTTGATTATTTAATGAGAAAATCAGCATGGCTTGATGAGTGCAATTGGTACATTAGAATTTGGTAAATGTTTGTGTTTCGTTCACTCAGTCACTACATAATCTCCACATTTACAGTCTTTTAATTACACTCTTTAACTCCACCAGGACTTCACCATGACCTTGTATCTGAGACATTACTGGAAGGATGACCGTCTGTCCTTCACCAGCAGCACCAACAAGAGTATGACGTTTGATGGCCGTTTGGTGAAGAAGATTTGGGTCCCTGATGTCTTCTTTGTCCACTCTAAGAGATCCTTTATCCACGATACGACTACTGACAATATCATGCTCCGGGTCTTTCCTGATGGACATGTGCTTTACAGCCTGAGGTCTGTAGAATCTCTGCATCTGATTTATTGACAGATCAATATTTGAATCAGCCTCCAATTGTATTTTTTAATTGAATTATTCAAATTATTCCTCTCCAAGTTTCTTGAAAAGCGATCTGGAAGCTTTTGCAATTTTCCTTTCAAGCATCAATAGATCTCATTGGTGGAGTAATTATGCCTCAGGTTAATTAAAATCTTAGGTGGGCATTTAAACAGGGAACATGTCCTGGATGGCCAGCCAGGTTTCACCATAATTTCACAAAAATTGCATAAAAATTATATAATTTGCTTTTTAGTCAGTTTTTAATCATGGTCCCTTTGCTTTCAACTCATAATGTACCTCCAAAAGCTACTTCATCAGACAGAAGTTATAAAGTAAACCAGGATTTCTAAGCATGAGATTTTCAGACCATATCTGATTCCACACTACTCACTTTTAAGGTTTCGAGGATTCAGCGGATTTCCTTTAAATCCATCCATCCATCTTCTTCCGCTTATCTGGGGCTGGGTCGCAGAGGCAGCAGCCTAAGGAGTGGAGTCTAGACCTCCTTCTCCCCTGCCACCTCCTCTAGCTTTTCTGGGGAAACAGTAAAGTGCTCCCATGTCAGCTGAGAGATATAATCTCTCCAGTGTGTCCTGGATCTGCCCCGAGACCTCCTCCAGGTAGGACATGCTGAAACACCTCACCCAGGAGGCACCCAGGAGGCATCCTGGTCAGATGCCCGAACTACCTCAACTGGCCCCTTTTTAATGTAGAGGTGCAGCAGCTCTATTCTGAGCCCCTCCTAGATGGCCAAACCTCTTAACCTATCTCTAAGGGAGAGCCACCCTTCAGAGAAACTGCTCTGAAACTGCAATGCTTGTATTCACAATTCCATTCTTTCAGTCACTACCCAAAGCTTGTGAGGGTAGGTACGTAGACCAAACACTAAATTAAAAGCTTCACTTTTACACTTCACCATGACAAACCACTCCAGTGCCAGTTGGAGGCCATCACCTGATGAAGCCAACAGAACCACATCATCTGCAAAAAGCAGAGATGAGATTCTGAGACCACCCAAGTGGAAGCTTTCCGTCACTTGGCTATGCCTAGAAATTCTGTCCATAAAAATTCTGTCCAACACCCACTGGAAATGAGTGGGTGCGGGGCCAGCTATGTGGATCAAGGTCTTGGGCTAGAAACCCCATACTCCTGAAGCATCCCCAAAGGACACACAGAGGAACATGGTCAAATGCCTTCTCCAACTTTACAAAACACATATGGACTGTTTGGGCAAACTCTCATGCCCCCTCGATTATCCTCAAGAGGGCAAAGAGCTCGTCCAGTGTTCCACGCCCGTGGCAAAACCTGGATTGTTCCTCCTGTATCCGAGTTTCGACTAACGGACGGACTCTCCTTTCCAGCACCCTGGCATAGACTTTACGGGGGAGGTTGAGGAGTGTGATCCCCCTATAGTGGAGCACATCATCCGGTCCCCTTTCTTGAAGATGGGAACCATCAGACTGCCAATCCAGAGGTACCGACCCTAATCTCCACGCAACATTGTAGAGGCGTGCCAACCAAGACAGCCCTACAACATCCACAGCCTTCAGGAACTCAGGACAAACCTCGTCGACTCTTGGGGCCCTGCCACCAAGGAGTTGTTTAACTGCCTCATTGACTTCATCCCCAGAGATAGGCAAGTCGTCCCCCCTCTTCCCCAGATTCTGCTTCCTCTAGGGAAGACATGTCAGAGGGATTAAGGAGGTCCTTGAAGTATTCCTTCCACCACCTAACAATGTCCTCAGTCAAAGTCAGCAGCATTCCACCCGCAATATATACAGTGCAGGTACATCACCGCTTTCCTCTTCTAAGTCGCCTGATGGTTTGCCAGAATCACTTCAAGGCAGTGCAAAGGTGTTTTTCCATGGTCTCTCCATACTTCCCCCACACTCAAGTTTTGCTTCAGCCACTGTCCGAGCCGCATCCCGCTTAGCCTGTTGGTACGTATTGGCTGCCTCCCAAGTCCCACAGGCTAACCAAGCCTGATAGGACTCCTTCTACGGTTCCCTTCACCTGTGGTTCCCACTATCTGGTTGGGAGTTACCACCATGACAGGCCCCAATCACCTTGCGACCGCAACTCAGTGCAGTTGAGATTGGCCGGACATGGTAAATGGTAAATGGACTGATTCTTACATACAACATGCCACAGTCACACCCACACACTTTCTCTAAACTTAGTGCTGTCTAACCACATTCACACTCCGATCGATGCATCGTAGAGCAACTTGGGGTTAGTATGTTGCCCAAGGATACTTGACATGTAGACTGGAGGAGCCAGGAATTGAACCACCAACCTTCCAATCAGTAGGTGACCTGCTCTACCTCCTGAGCTGCAGCCACCCAAAAAACATCCAAAGATCCTCAGGATTTTCTATACAGGCGCTGTGGAGAGCATCCTCACACAGAACATGACATCGTGGTT